GTAGTGGACTTCCTTGCCAACAACAACGTCAAAGTCTTACCGTGGCCGGCATGTTATCCTGACTTATCGCCCATAGAAGACTTCTGGGACGTCTTGGACAGGCGACCTAGAGTCCGACCACTCCCTCCCGCCAACAGACAAGAGTTGATACAAGCTCTTCAAGATGAATGGAACCGCTTGCAACGTGACCTCATCAGACGTTTTCCGTCCGACGCAGAGTCTTTGCATGTATGGAGGCACGTGGTGGCTGCATTCGGGTTTGAAGTGACAGATTTTGTGTCTGTGATCTCTTTCCGCGTTTGAATGAATTAATTGCAGTGAAATTCTGTACATTTGGAGTTTTACCTCCCACTGATTTTATTTGTCTGATGTACTATACTTAACCACAAAATGTCAAGTTTAAGTTGTTTGTGGAATTGTTTGCTTATTAAATATACCCTACCTTACTTTTAGTTTATTTATCACAGTCACTTCAATATGGTGCAAAGTTTCGTTGGTGTTTAGTTTTTGTTGTTTTAGGTTTTGGCTCTTTTTTAATGACACCTGAAAACAGTGACAGGTGATTTTTGTTTCTTATCCTCGGTGTGAAATGCATACCGCTGCTGCATGACAGTACCTGTATGTCTGTGACGAGATCTTTTCAAAACAAGCCTTGATTAAAAAACTTTGAAACTTGTCTTCAATTATTAACACTAAATAAATCAATCTGTGTATATTAGACGACGTGTGGACAGTTTTTTCACACACAGAGTGATACAAAACAGTTGATTATTGATCGCCGACAGGCTGTTTTTCCTTGAAAGATGTCTTTCAAATGATAATAGGCAATCAATAGAATAACCCACTCGACACAAGTGATAACGGAAAATGTCACAAGGGAAATTATTTTTTTAAGTTTCAAGCTTAAGCGACATTAAAACATTAATTTCACGAACGCATCGATCTAGGCAATTGAGATACGATGGAATGCATCAAACCAATTCACTGGGCCGTTAGTCGTCTTTTATGGCAAGCAGATGTTCCTGAAGGCCCCTGATTCTACCCCGGAGCCATTTCCTAACTAGTAAATATGTCTCTTCAAGCACAAACAACTGATGTAAATGCGACATATTTACACTCTCAAATAATTGTGGAAAATAAGATATATTTAAAAGCAAAAACCTCAGCCGTCTGGCATTGTCATGGTACAGTTAAAACAATCTGCCAATACTTCTAGCGACAGTACGCAAAAGTTCCTCAACACATCGCTGGCCAGACAAATGTCCATTCACAATAACCAAACTCGTTCGACTGTTATGGTGATATCTCCCCACCCAGTCATGGTAAAGAATTGTTTCCCTGGCATGCTGCTCGCCGACACTTTGCCAAAAACATTGTCTGCAAAATGTTAAAGTGAGGCAAAACCTTGATTTGTCTGTGAACATTGTGTAACACCATTGGCGCAATGCCTAGTGCTGCCTAGCCATTCCCAATCCGGTTTTAAAGGGCTAGATGTTGAAATTCGTCTTCCTGTTGATGGTCGGAATTCTTTATTGATAACAGGAGCATTTTTGAATGCTTAGTGCAATAAAGGTAATGGGACGATCTTATGTATGTCGACTTTAGAACGGGTTCATTGCATCCTCATCCGAAACATTACACTTTTTGATTTGCCAAACAACTTGGGATGCTGACGTCCCCTTAACTCTATCGTACTCACAATTTGCCCTTTTGTCTGTCTATTGAGATACTGTCTCAGGGGCATACTCACAATTTGCGCTTTTGTCTGTCTATTGAGATACTGTCTCAGGGGCATACTCACAATTTGCCCTTTTGTCTGTCTATTGAGATTCTGTCTCAGGGGCATACTCACAATTTGCCCTTTTGTCTGTCTATTGAGATACTGTCTCAGGGGCATACTCACAATTTGCCCTTTTGTCTGTCTATTGAGATACTGTCTCAGGGGCATTTATTTTCTCAATTTGTGAGTGTGCCTTCCTCCATGGGCGCACACACTTTTGCTTCAGTGTACACGTGCATGATGTGAAATGTCATTGTCATTAGATGTTGCGTTCAGATGCAACGCCAAGGTTTTGTAAAGTACACCTAAACTGCAAAAACAGTTTTAAATATTACCTCAACAGACAAGCACTTGAGGGTAACAAGTATGTTAGCTTCCCAGCTGTACTTATCCAAAGCTGTTGTAAGTTATGTTCTTAAATATTGGTGAATTTACAATCTAGCATTAATTGTAAATGTTACATGTTTGCGCCCAAAATATCACCCAGATTGAAAATGTTAACGGTAACGTTTTTTCGAATTAAACTCATTTAACCGGAAGAAGTGTCTCACCTTGTACGTTCCATGGTCCATTGTTATCGTTATTTCAGACTTTTGTCCGACTTCTAGTTGCATTGGGCACATGTAATTATCTTTACCCCATCTTTTCCGTATCCTGTAGTTGATAAGCAGGTAGGGTTTGTCCGGGGGGACATAAAGGCGGGGAACATGAAGGCGGAAGTCCAGGTGGATTAAGGTATCGATTTTATCCCAAATTTCCAGCGTTGATCTGTAAAGGAATACAGTAAACTACGGTTATAACGAACTGAAAGAGACCACTAATTTAAGTTCGTTATAACCGTAGTTCGCTATAAGCATATATGCAGCATATACAGTCAAGTCTCGTTAATCCGACATCGTTGGTTGCACATGATTGTGTCGGATTAACGAGTATGTCGGATTAACGAAATTAAGTGATTTGTGATCGAAAATCGGACATCTTCACAATAGATAATAACCGTGTGTTTCCTCGTGTAAATGCAAGAGCTACTGTCTTAACAACTTGCTTCATCTACTTAAAATAGTCTGTCAGTGTTTTCTGTTTCTCACATTTTGAAGGCACATTTCTCAAAGTCCCCTGTTCGCTTGACGTCTAGGGCTGGTGGTCCTTCAGCATCAACATTGTCGAGGTGTAATTTCATTTGTTTCTTATAATAAAGCTTTAAAGCGTTAAAGTTAATCTCTGCAGTCGGTGCGTGTCAAAACACGGGGTTGTGTACTCGCGGTCAGATGACCACGGAGTACGCTGACCACTGTGTCGGATTAACGAGACTGATTAATGAGTGATTTCAGTAATTCATTGCAAATTAGGCGTGTCGGAGTGCGAGAATGTCGGATTAACGGGACTAAATAGCGCTAAATCAATCGGTTCCCATCATTTGTGTCGGATAAAGCCGAGTGTCGGATTAACGAGTGTCGGATTAACGAGACTTGACTGTATACAACAAATGGCCGGGACTAATAAATAAGTTCGTTATATCGGTCAGTTCGTTATAAGCATGGTCGTTATAACCGTAGTTTACTCTCTCTCTCTCTCTATACATATATATATATATTCGTTCACTTTATAGTAAGCGCTTCAAATATTTACAGATTTCATGACTAGGATACTCAATTTGTAGGTGTACACTGTTCACCAATCATCTTTTAACAAGAATAAAGTATCCCCGACCATTTGAAGCCTGGGAATGGTTGAGGGTATTTTCAAATCAATATTTTGTCCCTGGCTTCCGCGTTGTTTGAGAGAAAGAAAAATGGTGTATGTTTTGAAGCACTGTCTCAAACAAGGCATACATCTCAAAATAAACGATTGTATTAAAAACAAACACGGTACAAACTGCTACATGTGTTACCCGTGATTTCCATAAAACATGTTTTGTTTGTTGTTTAACGCCGCACTCAACATTATTCCAGTTATATGACGAGTACATCATCGAGTCTGGACCAGACCATCTGCATCAACCAACTCAGCAGCCCGTATACTTAACCCGACAGTCGCCTCTTACGACAAGCATAGTCACCATTTACTGCAAGCATGGGTTGCTGGAGACCTATTCTACAGCGGATCTTCACGGGTCTAAACTGATTCTTATTTGGCGCATACGTGGTATGCGGCTCAATAATCTCCGGACAATATTCTGACAAGTCTGTTTCCTATTCACAATGATATTTATAAGGGGTGTCTCGGCGACGCCAGATCACTGGAAATATAAACAAGATAAATGTACCTGGAGAGTTTTGTTTGTGTCCCCGATAGCATAATTCGTACCCTTCTTGATGAACCACATGGGAACATGTAATTTTTCTGAGATGTATCCTGAAAAGTAACCCAAAATGTTACAGACAGATTTTTAAAAAATGCCATGGCACCTAATGCTATGGTTCCATGGTGATAAGTTTACCACTGTGAGGGTTTGGCGCAGGTCTTAACAGTTATGGTATAGATCACTGTATGTCAATTTGATGTGTGAAGAAAGCTGATACTCGTGAAGATTTGTTGGTTGACGCACTCAGCAATATTCCAGCTATATGATGATGGTCTGTAAAATAATCGAGTCTGGACCAGACAATCCAGTGATTGACATTATAAGCATCGATCCACGCAATTGGGATCGATGACATGTATGAACCAAGTCAGCGAGCCTGACCACCCGATCCCGTTTGGCGCCTTTTACGACAAGCATAGTCATCTTTTACGGTAAGCATGGGTTGCTGAAGACCTTAAGATTCTACCCCGGAATCTTAACGGGTACATACTCACATCTTTCACCATGTTTTAGATTGTAAAGTTTCTTACATTTTATAACGATTGACGTTTGACGGCGAGGCATCCACAGACAGAAAATACAATTTTACCAAACCAATGAAATAGGGAAAGAATATACTCTGCTGTCTTACATTGTAGTCGTTTCATAATGGACAACTAGACGTTGTATATTACTTGTCGGTTCATAACAGATCAAATATTCATAAATATTATGAATTTAGTAATCTGTTTAACAGTAGAAAAGCAGGAACAAATGCTTACCGTTTTCTCGAACACCTGGTTTCTTCACAGATTTTTAGTGATCCATTCATATTATTTTCATCTACTTCTCTAGCGTTGACGTTTTATATAGAAAAGCTTAATGCTTTCCGTTCCAAAAGTTTCTAAACATCTGTTAAATATGCACATATAATCATTAACTTACAGGGTTAGTCCAGCGGAACCTTTCACACCACGCAGAGACGTACTCCCACAGGCCTGATGTCTGACATAGACTCGTCTTGTACGTTTTCTTGTCACAGGAAATAAAGTCTGATTGGCATGTGTAATTTGTCACAGCTCCCTGGCGATGATGCTTTGACACTTTGGCTGATCCAAACACATCTGGTGGTTCACCACAGTCCCTGGTGTAATCACGTGAAAAATAGAACATAGGATTTTACATATCGGTCTACCAATCTTCAGACATTGTATCTTTTGTCATGATTCTGATGTTGACAAATTCTTAACAGCAGACTTTTCCGTGAAACACTGCCTGAGCACCAACCTCTTCTCAGTAGCAATTGGGCATATTGTTTTCAAATAATAGATTTAAGTTTCAAGCGTTATCATGCACCAAGGGTGTCTGTGATCAATTTAAATCAGAACTAAAGTTTGCTCTGCCCTGAACTATTATCATCCTCGTGCTTTATCTATAACTGTCCAGGGCAAAACTATTTGCTCTGCCCTGAACTATTATCATCCTCGTGCTTTATCTATAACTGTCCAGGGCAAAACTATTTGCTCTGCCCTGAACTATTATCATCCTCGTGCATTATCTATAACTGTCCAGGGCAAAACTATTTGCTCTGCCCTGAACTATTATCATCCTCGTGCTTTATCTATAACTGTCCAGGGCAAAACTATTTGCTCTGCCCTGAACTATTATCAACCTCGTGCTTTATCTATAACTGTCCAGGGCAAAACTATTTGCTCTGCCCTGAACTATTATCAACCTCGTGCTTTATCTATAACTGTCCAGGTGCAAAACTGTACTTTATTACACTATCCATCGGGGTAGACCAAACTTTAATATTTTTCTAAGGTGTCGAACTTAAGACTAACTTTGTGTTTTGTTAGAGATTGGTATGGAAGGAAATCTGCACTGAGGTGTGCCCTCAATTTAAAATCCATCTAACTAACTGACGGGGTGTTCCACCGAATTGCCTATGCCCTTACGTTAAGAGTAATATATCTTCGTTTAAAACACAAAACACCACTAATACACAATACAACACCATTAATAGGTCACATTTCATTGTCCGTTATGTGTGTGGTTATGCATACACCTATGCAGCAATAAACAGGTCACATTTCATTGTCCGTTATGTGTGTGGTTATACATACACCCATGCAGCAATAAACAGGTCACATTTTATTGTCCGTTATATGTGTGGTTATGCATACACCAATGCAGCAGTAAGCAGGTCACATTTCATTGTCCGTTATGTGTGTGGTTATACATACACCCATGCAGCAATAAACAGGTCACATTTCATTGTCCGTTATATGTGTGGTTATACATACACCCATGCAGCAATAAACAGATCACATTTCGTTGTCCGTTATATGTGTGGTTATACATACACCCATGCAGCAATAAACAGGTCACATTTCATTGTCCGTTATATGTGTGGTTATACATACACCCATGCAGCAATAAACAGGTCACATTTCATTGTCCGTTATGTGTGTGGTTATACATACATCCATGCATCAATAAACAGATCACATTTCGTTGTCCGTTATATGTGTGGTTATGCATACACCCATGCAGCAGTAAATAGGTCACATTTTCATTGTCTGTTCTGCGTGTGGTTTTGCATAAACCTATGCAGCAGTAAACACGTCACATTACATTGTCCGTTATATGTGTGGTTATGCATAAAACCATGCAGCAATAAACAGGTCACATTTCATTGTCCGTTCTACGTACGGTTATGCATAAACTCATGCATAATAGCATTTTATCACTTGGCTGGGCCATACTAACATGTGCCGAAGTTCGGTGTCGCTGGTTATTTAGTTGAGGAATTTGAGGAATTTTCTGCTGTACAGATTGCAACTTTGTTTCTGCCACAACTGTAAGCAGACTGCAGCAACAAAATGGTGTGCCAACCAAGCTTATCGGGCTACATGATCCCGTAAACCCACATGAATCGACAGCCTGGGGCGTGATTTGCCGTCGCCGTTGTACGAACATGGCGGAGCAAAGGGCAACAGTGACAGTTTGTAATATTACGCTGAGCAACAAATGTACACGTGGTTATGAAACGTTTCAAGTATTGCTCATTCCTTTGTCGAGAGAGACACAATTCGTAGGGCACGAACGCCCACCTCGGACAATTTTGTGACTGTTTTGGCAGGACAGTGGTTTGAGAGAAATTGAAATATAGACACTTTCCCCGAAAATAGATGTGGATGCGCCGTTTTGCTTGAGCGTAATGAACGAACGATGTTACCAGCGTCATGACGTCATTCCATTATGACAAAACTCAAAAAGTGTACTTCATCGCAGGATAAAGTACAATAGGTGCCTTTGATCATTTAAAGAATCAATATGGCGCCTTAGTGTGGCGTTAAAAAACAAACGAACAAATCACTCACCTTGCCACCCTGTTGTACGACCAAGACAGTCCGCACATCTGAACTCGGGGGAACCTCGCACGCTGAATCCCAGAACTAGACTGAAAGGAAATAAATATATTCATGATGATGTGCACATGGTGATAACCCAGCTAACAATTTCACGTTGTGACAACGTTGTGATAACGTTGGGGATATTACGTCTAGATAACGTCATGGCCTAACGTTGTGTTACGTCATATTCATATGAACGTTGTGATAACGTTGTATTGTACGTTGTGGGAACGTTGAATATCACGACGTTGTGGGAACTCTGTATTTTACGTTGTGGTAATGTTGTATTTAACGTTTTGACAATGTTATAATATTGCGTCCCTACAACGTTATTCTGTGTACTACCATGGACGTTGTCACAACGACGTGAAATAACTTTGTGTTACAAGGATGAAATACGTTGTGACAACGTTATCTCATTACCATTCCCAACAAAACGATGTAAAGACATCTCAAGACATGTTCCGGCAATATTTTAGAATATGCTTTAGTCACGTGGATGTGTATGATTCCAGATACCCTTTACCAATGTTTTGAAACCAGAGCGTCGAGTAGCCCAGTTAACAGCTAGGTCGTGTTTTGCTGACAATGTTCAAAATGTAAAAACACAACTGAGCTGTTAACAAGATACATATGACTATAACAAATAGTCAGACACCATTACCCTTTAGGCTTGTACTGCAGGAAACAAAATATGAATGGCAGACATGGTAAGGGGTTGACCATTTGATATTCTGCGGAGGATCGGTGCCTGGAAGTTTAGAAAGCAGATATATTGGGTATTTTGTTTGTTGTCTGGTTTACGACGCACAATATTCCATCTGTATGACAGTGGATATATTGGTTTTGTTGTTTGTTGACTGGTTTATACCGAAAAATATTCCAGCGATATAACAGTGGATATATTGTTGGTTTTTTTTGTTGGCTGGTTTGTACCGCACAATATTCCATCTGTATTACAGTGGATATATTGGTTTTGTTGTTTGTTGACTGGTTTATACCGCACAATATTCCAGCAATATGACAAAGGATATATTGGGTTTTTGTTTGTTGGGTAGTTTACGCCTCACAATATCCCAGCAATATTACGGTGGATATATTTTTTGGTTTATTTGCTGGTTTACGCTGCACAATATTCCAGCTGTATGACAGAAAACAAAATTATGACAGAATCAATGTTTTTGGTGATAATGTTCAGCAAACGTCGATGACGGCGGCCATTTCTCGCAATACACAAAAGATGATATCAAAATGGAAAAGCGACCCAAATAGAGGTCGTGACTCAAATTCCTGTTAACATGTTTATAATTACTTAGGTATTGAGTTGAGTTTTATTCATTACATGCACCATACCATACGAACATTTTCTATGAAAAGTTGTGTCCATTATAAATATTAATTTTAACAGGCTAACCTGTGCAATGCATATGTATGCTGTTAGTTATCAGGTTACATACACCAATTGGAGTTTATTTGTAGTTAATTCGGCTAAGAAAACATGAGTTATTCACAATCATATTCCGTTTCTCTCACATGCCGAAACTTACTTATGCCATAGCGCATGTGCAGTCAGTCGCTAGCAATTCCTTTGCCAAGATTACAACGCATGGTTTCATTCATGCACGCTTCGTAATGGTGGGATCTTAACTGAAGTTTTTTTCACATACATTCCGGATTCGCAACGACTTAGCTACTACCTAGTAACGAGGAAGTGGCCGTCACATGCAGTAACTTCTCGTAGCAAGCATAATGGCTCCTCGTCAGAAACGCAATTCGACAAACGAAGCTGCCATCGATGTACACAACCAAGATGGCCGGCCGGTCGGCCGTATCAACACGACTTCAGTCTAATTCTTCTGACGTTCGATATAAAGACAGACGAGATACCAGACAATAATCCGGACTCGGCAGCTAACGAAAATTCTCACGATCCTACCAACTGGTAAGTTGCTGAACTCCGAGAGCGCATCGCCTTGGGCATCGGAATTTTACACCTGCCAAATTCCATTTCAAGAAGACAACTCATTCCGTTTTACGCCAGGAAATGTAATTTATCCATCCGTCTCCCGGACTTCAGGTACCAGCCATGTCAGACAAGATTTTTGGAACATTCCTCATTCAATGGATATTCGAGATGTCGGAGAACGAAACGAAATTCCCAAAAAGGATCGAGAACGACTCAGCCTGTGACGTCACCAAGTGTCATGGCGGCGCCCACACAACCAGACTTGCAGAGTTTCGTCGCGACGGTTCCGGACGATGTTCATTGTGGCCCAAGTAGCATTCAAATGGACAATGGAGGATATGGACAATTACATCTGAAAACCACAAATGACATAGGGCTTCAGAAAGTCAAATCATCCTTGGCACCCAGAATGCTGCAGCAGACGAGGAACATCAATTTTGATGGTACAGACGCCCATGGACGGGCCTTTAACTTCCACCAGGGACAATCCATTTGCAAAAATTATAACGACAGAGGATGCACCCATCAACATGGGTTTGCTTGATATGCAAGAGAAACCATCGAAATATCAATGTCGTCCAGACAAGACATCCAAGAATTGGAAGTCCGATAAATGAGACCCGTGAAGATCCAGGATAGAATAGGTCTTCAGCAACCCATGCTTCCCGGAAAAGGCGACTAACAGGATCGGGTTGTCAGACTCGCTGACTTGTTTGATGCATGTCATTGTATCCTAATTGCGTGGATCCGGGGTAGAATAGGTCTTCAGCAGCCCAAGCGACCCAAATCTGCACAGCAAATCACGGGGCCTTGGACGACTGTGTCCACCCGTGTCCCCTATATCGTCAAGAAAGAAAGCCACAAGAGACTTTCAAATACTTTCTGAATACGTGCTGAAGAAATCTAACACCTAACGCTTTAATGAAATATGATGTCATCATTAGGTGAAACGTACATGCCAACGTTCACCTTCAACCTGGGCAGTCGGGTAGCTTAGTGGTTAAAGCGTTCATTCGTCACGCCGAAGACTCGGGTTCGATTCACGACATGGGTACAATATGTGAAGCCCATTTCTGGTGTCCCCCGCCGTGATTTTGCTGGAATATTGCTAAAAAGTGGCGTAAAACCATACTCACTCACCTTCAACATGGACATCCAATGTAACGTCAAATGTAAACTCACTCACTCAACCTGGCAATTTAGGTAGAGAGGTTTACTGCGCCACATGTATATTTAAAACATAACAAAGTTTAGAACACTAATTAGTCATATACCAATTATTGCATGACATTTTGAAATTCCCGTGAAGATTCGCGGTAGATTAGGTCATCAGCAACCCATGATTGCCCTAAAAGGCGACTACGCTTGTCGTAAAAGGCGATTAACAGGATCGGCTGGTCAGGCTCGCTGACTTGGTTGATGCATGTCATCGTCCGAATTATGTGGATCGATGCTCATGATGTCAATCACTGGATTGTCTGGTCCAGACTCGATTATTTACAGACCGCCGTCATATAGCTGGAATATTGCGGAGTGCGGCGTTAAACAACAAGCCAACCAGCCTATTCCTGCAAGCATGGGTTGCTGAAGACCTATTCTAACCCTGATCTTCACGGGTCCAGCACAGAATTACGGGTTCACAGCTGCATCATATACAGATCCATGTTACATCTACGGAGCATCATCAACTGAAACACATGAAATGATTACCTTTGGCCAGCGTTTCAGGTTATCAAGTCGAGAGACGACGTCAAGAGGGGTAATGCCGTCACTTCGTTGGCTACACACTTTTGTTTCTAAGTCGAAGTTGAACGAAGCACAGAATGACGATGCAAGGCATTCAGCAGCGCATTTGAACACAGTCAGGGAAGTCATTTTTTTGTATGTACGAGTTTTCTGGACTGTGAGTACATCAGAACACGGGGTGCCGGTACCGGTCACAGTCAGGTGTATCAGTAGTACAGCAGCAGGAAGTGGAACGGCTGCCATGTCGGCTCGTCTGGTGTGATCAAGTAAGCGCTGTGCGGGACGGATGCAGGCTCGGCTAAATTAACAAGTGGGTGGAATCACATGTTTGCAACAATCCAATTAGCTTTCTGCACTAAAATGTTGTTGGCTAAATACATCTTCCCGAGGCAAGAGAGTTAACTGACTATAAAAGTCCAATTTCCACCCTTGCCGAACTAGGCTGGTATTGTGGAGTAACATTTTGGCTGGACTTAACGAGTCTATGCATAGTCCAATCAAAATCGCGCACCGAAATCGAAATCCGGTTCGTAAAACTGTCATGCAGAGTTCGGTCGATTGCAGGATTTGCACAGCATGTGCACCGCCAACTCGTTGTCAACAGATATTTTTCAAGCCTTTTCAAGTTTTAAATCAAGGTGCTCACGTGATTTGATGCACTTCGCGATGTAAGATCCGTTTTATTACAATATAGATCTTGATTATCCATCAGATCGTCTTGACTGGGCGCCGCCATTTTGTTTGAAGCAAATGCAAGTGATACGAGAGGTAGAATCTGATTGGTCCATAGGAGAGGCATAGTAGGGACATCACTCGTACCAGCCACGGGTGACGCTACGATCGAGCCCAGGAATTCCAGCCTAGTTCGGCAAGAGTGGAAACTCGACTTTTACATTCAGTTAACTCCCTTGCCTTGGGAAGATGGCTGTAATATTTCTATTACTGTTTACCGTAAAAGGAGACTAACGTGATCAGTTTCGAAGACTGGGTTGATGCATATAACCGTATCCCAAATACTTGGATCGATGCTCATGATGTCAGTCACAGGATTGTCGGGTCAAAACTCTTACTTTCAGATCACCGTCATGAAGCTTGAATATTGCTTACTGCGGCGTTAAACATCAATTGGTTGGTTGGTTGTTGTTTAACGCCGCACAATATTCGAGCTATATGACGGCGATCGGTAAATAATCGAGTCTGGACCAGACAATCCAGTGATTATTATTATGAGCATCGATCCACGTAATTGGGTTGGTTTGGTTGGTTTTGTTGTTGAACGCCGCACTCAGCAATATTCCAGCTATATGACGGCGGTCTGTAAATAATCAAGTCTGGACCAGACAATCCAGTGATGGATATCATTAGCATCGATAGACGCAATTGGGATCGATGACATGCATCAACCAAGTCAGCGAGCCTGACCACCCTATCCCGTTAGTCGCCTTTTACGACAATCATAGTCACCTTTTACGGCACGCATGGGTTGCTAAAGACCTATTCTAACCCGGATCCTCACTGGTCTCACCGTCATGAAGCTTGAATATTGCTGAGTGCGGCGTTAAACAACAAACAACCAAAACAAAAAAGTCTGCATTAGAATTTGTCACGAGCAACGTTTGCTGGTCGTAAAAGGCGACTGATCCACCCGGATCGGGTGGACATGTTCTGCGACTTGGTTGAGAGCATGCCTTCGTTTCCGATTTTTGAGTGATCGGCGCTCATTTTGTCAGTCACTGGATTGTCTCGACTCGAATCCTTACAGCTTGATGCAGCACCCATGCAGAATGTTTGTAGTCCATATACTTTTCCTGAAATTACCTTGTGGGGGCGGTCTGGTGGCCTAGTGGTTAAAGCGTTCGCTCATCACGCCTAAGATCCGGGTTTGATTTTCGACATGGGTACAATTTGTGAAGCCCATTCCTGGTGTCCCCCACTGTGATATTGCTGGAATATTGCTAAAAGCGGCATAAAACCAAAACTCACTCACTCACTCACCTTGTGGCGCTATGAGTGAGTTAACATTTAACGTCGCGTCGGAATGATTTCAACCATAAATCAGATTCGCATAGTGTTTGAAATAATACATATTAGAAGTAATCAATAATACATAATGAACATAATAAACATATTAGATGATCCCAATAATCTACTCTGATCACATTAATTCTCAGTGATTCTGTAGCCTGGCGATAAGTGTCAATTATAGCATGATATTTGCGAGATATAATCCATGTAATACATGTCATAAAGAAGATTACAACATCATTGATATCAAAGCGGTTAATTCAAATCGCATTTATTCAAAGTGTCAGTGAGTTATACTGAAATATTTAACACTCTAAATCAATCGTTCAAACACAGCTCATAGCTCTTCTAATTGAGACATTTGTAAATATACCATAACAGCAATTCTACAAACTATAACTTCGTTCATGTGCGTAACATTACTACCTGATTGTAACAGTATTACGTTTTTTGTGTTTTAAGTTGCTATCCTATTAAATATTAAGCAATTTTATGTAAAGGGTTACGTCTCGAGTTATCCAACCTTAACTTGATGGAACTGTTAACAATACTGTTTACTGCATTATAAATGATGCAATTTTATGTAAAGGGTTACGTCTCTGAGTTATCCAACTCTAACTTGGTGAAACTTTTAACAATACTGTTCACTATTCATGTCAGATAATGAGGATGTGTGAGCCTGCATTCAAATCTTTGTACGAGGGTTGATAAATAAGTTCAGAGGTTCACACAGAAGAAAATATTTGTAATAGTTAAATAGTGAGTGAGTGAGTTAAAAATTTAACGTCGCATCACCATTATTTCAGCCATATAGCAACGAGACCAAGTTAATATATTCACAATTTAGTCATTTATGCAAAGTAATGTTAAAACATAACTTATTAACATATTTGAGCATAACAATATCAAATATACAGTTTTAGTTTTGGTTTGGTTTGTTGTTTTACACCGCACTCAGCAATATTCCAGCTATATGAGAGCGGTCTGTAAATAATCAGACAATCCAGTGATTGATATCATGAGCATCGGTCCACGCAATTGGGATCGATGACATGCATCAACCAAGTCAGCGAGCCTGACCTCCCGTTAGTCGCCTTTTACGGCAAGAATGGGTTGCTGAGGACCTATTCTACCCCGGATCTTCACGGGGCGCCTTTTACTACAAGCATGGCTTCCTGAAGACCTATTCTACCCCGAAATCTTCATAGGTTGTTACTGAATAAATGTGCCAGTCTGTTAGGTTGTTTTAATGTTTGAAATGTTAACAGTTCAAGAGTTGTGTTTAAGCAGTTAACCAGTTTCTCCTGAACAAGGGGGGGTGTAATTTTTTGTTGGTCAACAATGCTCCTGTGATATTTGATTGCCTTTCCCTGAATGGAATAGACGGGTACTCAAAGGTGGCATTTTTAACTCAGTTTGTATATTGACTCTATGCAAACTTCATTTGATAGTTACAGTGAATTGTGAACACTTAGTTTTATAGATTTCATTGTCATTCATTCTTGTCATACATTCAAATTTAATACTTTATTTTATTATTTTGTATCTGGTTTCCAATCAGATTTGATTAACGATATTTTGGTGATATTTTCATTAAATTCATGAATCGTGTTTTGCCTTTCTTCTTCTTTTTCACATTGGTCAAGGAATGTACATGTTATAAATAGTTATATGCTGTTTTACAATACTTAAAACTAATTTCATAGTACATTTACAAGTAGTGGCGTAACATATCCAGTATAAGTCACATAGAACAATATGGATCTAATGGAAACGGCTTCAGAATTTAGAAAAATGTTCTGTCTCCAAACATAATTTTGTTATTTAAATTGACATTTTCAATTCATTTCATAAAGTTTGTAGTTTATGTACTTTAACAGTACAAAATGCATGTCTATGCAAACATTTATGAAGGTAGCTTTCATAATAAAACGGTTAAAATCCAAACTAATACAGCGCAGTTTCTCTAAACAAGGTTTTGTAGAGTTAGAACACCTTGGTTCTCAGGCGACGAAATAGCAATGTTTGTCCCTCGTTTTTCGCGGATCTAAAATAGAGCGGTCCTATCTAAAATTCTATTTTTAGTAGTTTGGCCTTGTTGATGAAAAGGCTTATTGCGTGGATCGATACTCATAATGTCAAACACTAGATTGTCTGGTCCAGACTCGATCATTTACAGACCACTGGAAGATTGCTGAGAGCGGCGTAAAACAACAATCAAACAAACAAATCAGTCATGTCATTTCTATTGCAGATTACCTCCACCACATTGCCCAATGGCAGTGTTTGAAATAGACATCAGCCCGTAGGCCCGAGTTCAGAGATATTTTTGAAAGCTGTAAATTTCCTTGATAAATGTAGGCTCCATCTATCATCACAGAGTCTCTAGCATTAAAAGCTTCTGGTTGACTGGTTGTATTTTGTAATTTTATATTGCGAGAGTATGTCTCAGCTAAAATGATTGGGCCTACAGTTTTCCACTGTGCATACAGTTTTTGAAATGTGATGGCCCTAAGCATCTCAGTATATACGTCTTTGGTTGTATGAGACGTATATACGTCTTTGGTTGTATGAGACCATTTCTCTCACAAAGATAAGGGAAGGGTTCCCAGGAGCAATGACCTCATTTCTAGCACTATAAGGACATTTAATCTTAACAATTGTGTTACAATCAATGACACCATTTGGGATTGCTGCTAGGAAGGGGAGTTCAGAATCAACGAACATTCCACAACTGTGAACATGCACATTGCAGGCTATCTCAAGTTTGGCAATAGCTTTGGGTTCTTGCTGTAAACCCATGCCTCACAGATTTACAAACTAGTTTCCTGCCAGAGACAATTTGTACATTTGCAGATTGTCCCAAACTGAGATGCTGTCAACCTCCATCTCCTCTCTTCATGCCATAATCTACAATTGGCCTGCTTTACTGTCCTTAGCTCTAAGGCCGTAGCCTGGTCAACTGTAACCTGTCGAAGACAGACAGAATAAAATTTCACTATATCACACACAAAATAAAATTGTTTCTAAAACAGCTTAACTTTGTCGTATCTCGCTCAAAGGGACCGGAAAAGATCCATTTACATGTGATTCAATCTAACCATCAACTACTACACTGCAACGTCTAAAGATATTGTGATCAAATATCTATCAACAGCAGTAAAAAATAAATTAACCATATTAGGTTTGTTTGTTTGTTGTTTAACGCCGCACTCAGCAATATTCCAGCTATATGACGGCGGTCTTTAAATGATCGAGTCTGGACCAGACAATCCAGTGATTGGCATCATGAGCATCGATCCACCCAAATGGGATCGATGACATACATTAGTCAAGTCGTTAGTCGTCTACCCATGAAGATTCTGGGGTAGAATAGGTCTTCAGCAACCCATGCTTATCGTAAAAGGCGACTAACGGGATCG